CAAGCCATTTCATTTGAAATGTTATTTGCTTGTTTTTGCTAAAGCGATGAGTATGAAGATTGGCACAGGATCCACCATTTGGACGCCAACAATTATTGAGAAATTGTACTTTATCTGAGTCATTCATGTCATCTGCCATTCCCAAAATAATCTTACTCACGTCATTAGGCGCTACAACTGAGACTGGATCATTATCCAAAATGCAGCTTTCTTGATCACAAGAATCATCAAGTATGTCTATTAAAATTGAGATAATTTGATTAGATTAAAAACAGACGTGCTCATAGGTGAACATATTTCTTTATTCATTTAGTTCTTCTACTAACCTAAATGTATATTTTCACAGGAAATGTAAACACTTAACTACACAAAAACTTTAGTTTCCAAACATCAGGTCTCACTGGTTGATAGCATAAAAAAAACTAGGGTAACAACAAAACTGTTACAAATCTAAGTTATCTTCTTCACCTTCATATAAATAGTTTGGCAAGTTAGTCCTTGCCCGATGTGACATGAGATGTTCTCCAAATTTTATATCAGTGTGTTGACTCAATAATTCAGCCCAAGCAGGTGGTGGACCCCATGTTGGAGTCACAGCTAGTTCTTTTAAATGTTGGTTGCCTAAAATGTCCCTGACAGTTCCTAGTGAAAAGGGGCAGATTGATTCCCCCTTGAACTTCTCAAGATATGGGAAATCTTTTAATGTATGAATTAGGGATGAAATATGTTCATCTTTAAACTGCAAGCAACGCGAGATATTCAGAACTCTAAGTGTTATGCATTGCTTAAGACATACTATCATATTCCATGGATCGATACTAGTACAACCATACACATTTAAAGATGTTAAAGAATGCATGCTGTAAACAAAATCTAATGAAATTATAGAAGTATTGTAAGTTAAATCAAGATATTTAATGTTTTCACAGCTTGCAAGACTGTTTTCTATGAACATGTAAGGACTGTTATAACGCACACGTTTTTGAGAAAACCTCAGTCCAAGCTTTCGGAAGTGCTTTGCATGCCTAAGTATTATACACTGAAATGTTTCCACGGTCAGCTCAACATCTATTTCCACTGTTTTCCAAATTTCACCTGACCATTGTACTAGAAAATAGAASCSCCGGCAAACACATCCTACGCCCAGATAATCTTGAATCGAGAGATATGTAAATATCTCAACTAAGATTTCAGAGGGAAGCTCGTTCAAAGTCAAAGATGCACCTTGTGACAAGTTGTTGTGTGACTATGACGTGTACACAGTTGAGCAACACGTACTTAGAGATATAGCCCTCGTGCTTATGAGTGTCTTGYGATCTTGTGTTTAACTGTATGTAAGAGTTCGTAATAAAGCATTTACTGTATACACACTGTATACATTTTTAAGATTTTAAGAGCTAATGAAATTAAGAAGGTATAATATATACCTAGCTCTTCATGAAAAAGTATTTACGAATTGCTGACTTAAAAGCTTGAAAATGCTTTTTTCGTAGTTTCTGCAGGAATAGTGTTACATAACTTAGTGCTAGTGACGCTAAACAACCTCCCCTTCACACTGCCTTTTATATTTGGGACGAACTAGATTGTACCTTGAATGCCTAGTTGATCTAGTGTGGATATCTGAGTTTATAATTATTATCTCATCTATGTAAGTTGGGGTAATGGCCTACTTGCAGAACAAATTTGAAGGGTGCTCAAAAATTTTCATTTCCCACTGCACCTTGCTTGAAAARTTAAGTTAATGCAATAAAAAAGGCCACGGTGTTCATTTTCACGCTTCAACTCGCTAAATCAAGAAATGGCGCTTAAAAGTCTYACAATGACCGAGGGAAGACTAAGGCGATTTCAAGATTTCAAGATTCAAGCTCGTTAATGACTAAAACGTCATTAACTAGTTCTGTCATCTAACGTTACGCGCATTAGGATGCRCAGTGAGAAGCCATGGAATTACCTATACGTATCGCTCTAACATAGAAGAAATTTTAAATTTAGACAACATATTTTTCATTCATATTATCAGCTTATCTTCGAACCTCAGAATCTTCATATATCTGATTAAAAAATCTAAATGAAACACCTTGTTTTACCAAATGGAGCAGAGTTCAATGAAAAGAACAAAATTAAAGAGCACTTTCTTCTTAATTTGTGGTRAATGCTCACAATCAAATTATTCTTAAAACGCGTGTCAAGAATTAGCATATTGAAAGCTTCTCTACTATTTTATTTGGCTGCTGAATAGTTCAGCGTTTAGAATGTAATATAGTTCTTGAAGTTCGTGGCATGTTTCCTAATTTTGTTTGCCAGCTAATAGGACAATAACATGACTTTTGGAGGGCATATTGTTTATTTGTGGCGCGAGTAGCATCCTTTGCAGCCTTGCGTACTCTCATTATCACCAATAATGTTATTCTCATTATCACCTCTGCGTAGAACTTTCGTAAAACCTCGTTGAGCTCTTTCAGAGCAATRGTTTTCAAGTCGACACTGATTTTTCGTTTCTCACTCCATTTGTAAAACCTTTTCAGGCCCCATTCAGTTGTCTCTTGATATTTTTTGCTTGAGCTTTCGTCTCAATCTCGTCGAGCTGCTCCTGGCCTAAGTCAGAACTTTGGCTACTCATTTCTAGCTCAAAATGTGGATACTTTTCCATATTAGAACAGTATTTTGACGAAAAAAAGCTGCCTCAAATCTCTTCAAACTAAAAAAAAAACAGCTCGTGCGCTTTCAAATGGTTTTCTCGTTGACATTTGATTGGTCGAGAACAGTCGTACGAGCCCTTTTTAGCCAATCAGCAACAGGGCTGCAAATGTATTTGCGGCCGCGCATTTTCAAGAARGCATTTTATTATTTGGCTTAGTTTATTGACGATAATGCTGTTTGTCGATAGCTGAACTTTGCGTTCAGTGGAAATTTATCTACGTAGGGCTTTAAGAGCCGGGCACAAAGTATAGAAATGTTTTAAGCCTCTGGGCCCAGTTGCATAAAACATACACTTAAGTATTTACTTAAGTGGAGCACTTAAGATTTCATTGCGTGTTCTTTTACGTGTGTTGCATAAACCACCCTTAGCTCTATCGTAAGTGGGTTACTTAAGTGCAAATTTACGGGAACACTTACGTGTTCAATAGACCTTTTCCGAATTCATAAACTATACTTCTGTACAATGATGTCTGAATGTCCACAAATGCCAACGGTAGAGTAAAGCCGATACACAACTCGGWCAATACAAACACTTCAATATTCAACTTGCGACTTTTACTGTAAGGAGCGAATATTAATCGAGACTAATTAAGCCTGAGCAACAGAGAGTTCACAAATGGAGTATTTCGTTTGGTTTTTTTTATTTTGTATAATTAGACACACGAGGAAGATGCAGATTCAGGGGACGGAAAAGTAATGCGCATTGAATTCATCAACTCTTTCTTTTCTTCAAACTGAATGTATATATGTTAGAACCATTCTTAACATTGACACAAGTCCATAAGTAATAAACTTGTAATCATATATGGCTAGTAAATCGAGGGAATATCTTTTGTAATGAAAAAATAAAATGAAGTGGCCATTGATAAAATTAGTATAGTTAACTTTGTTCCATAGCTGTTTAATTAAATAATAATATGTGACAAATTTTTTTTGCTTGATTTCATTTGTCCGTTTGTTTACTTACTTGCTTTTGCATTTTACAATTTATTCAGTTTTCCTTAACCAAAAAAATCTCCTTTTCATCTCATATATAAAAAAAAAAAAAAAAAAAAAGGAATAGATCAAATAATAAATATGACACACTTCGACTTACGGGACCTCCAGGGTTCCCGTAACTTTACGTGTGGTATTTCCACTTAAGTAATGTTGTAAATGATTCTTTGCAACGCCCGTAGCTACTGTTACATAAGCGACACGCAAGCGAACACTTACGAGAATCTTAAGAACATATATTTAAGAGCAATCTTAAGTAGATAACTTAAGTCTTTTTATGTAACGCCCTTGTTTTACGGGACCACTTAAGTGTACCCGTAACACTTACGGGGGTTTTATGCAACCGGGCCCTGCAGGTCCTGTTTAAAAGAGCTGAATTAAAGCGTCTATGTTCGCGGATAATTCCCCCGAGGTGTGTCGAGCGGATGACCTCGAATATGGGAATGTTATGAGCCTTGTCACGTTAAAAGAGCTGAATTAAGGCGTGTATATTCGCGGTATGATTCCCTCGAGGCGTGGCGAGCGGATGACTCGAAAAAAGGATTGTTGCGAGTCTTGTCTAGTTCAAAAAAGCTGAATCAAGGAGGCTGGAAAGGGCTTTCTTGAGCTCGCGCGCGCTCTAGGTTCTATGACGTAGAACTTGCAAAAGGAAAATTTTGACCTCAAAAATTTTAATTTTCAAACTAAAAAAAAAAAACAAAAAAACCTCTGCGGTGAAATTTCTTCAAATTTTGCATATGGCTTTGGTTTATTTTTTTTGCAAAACTTAAGGAAAGATTTAAGAAATTATATATAAAAGGGAACCATTCCAAACAATTTTTTAGTTGATTTTTACGAATTCCCTCTAACAAAATTTTTCCCTTTTTCGTCAAAAAGAAGATTACGATACAAAATATTCCGTTTTTTTTWWAAAAATTCACCGTTTGCTTCGTGAGTTATGATTTTTTATATGAACAATTTTGATGGCATAACAAGTGCTCTGATGTTGTCAAAGCAACGTCTTACCACAGGGAGCCCGGCTTAGTGATGCTAAATCGGTAAAACGATCACGTGTCATATGTTGATGACATTACATAATAATCGTAACTCAATACACCCATATACAAACGGTCACTACGTAATAGAACACCAGTGTTTGTAACGCGTAACTTAATACCGTAATAAATTCAAATTCAAATACGTAACGGCTAAGTGTAACGCACGCGTTAAGGAGAGAGAAAGGAGAGAAGTGCTGAAACAAGCAAGGTTTATTCGTTGTATGTGCGSCAGCAGTTGATGGGACACTTAATTTATTCATAACCAGCATGACATCGAACGTGTACTCAAATGTACAAGTTCCGAGTTCGTCAATAATAGTGAGTATTAAAACTGATTTTTACAAATAYGAAATGAGTTTGTTATCGATTATAAACTAAGAATTATTTTCGAGAACTTCGAGAACAGGCTACTTGAAAACGTTGAAGTTGGCTCTGAAGAAATATCAATCGCCGAAATATACGAAGAGCTACCAGCTTATGGTTCAGGATAAAGAAAATATAGACAATAATAACAGAGAACTCGGACGTCTCCTAAAAACCGTCTTTCCTTCAGYAACTAGAGTCAAAGTCACTTCTGGAAAAWAGCGGGGGAAAAACATTTCTACCTGTCAAGATATTTTGTTATTTTCATGGAAAAATGGCAGATCAGGCTATCATGAGAGTTGCTCACAAGTTATGAAATCAACGCTCCCTCATTTGGTTTAATCTATACTCATTCGCTTGATCCAGGTTTAAGAGCCCTAACTCTAAAACAAGACTAGAAAATCGAGTTTTTAAAAGGGCTACTATAGTTTGTTTCAGCCCTTCTCTCCTTTCTTTCTTCTTACGGGGCGTCTAACACTATTGCATTACAAGTTCTATTAGTAGTGACCGTTTGTATATGGGTGTATTGAGTTACGATTATTATGTAATGTCATCAACATATGAAACGTGATCGTTTTACCGATTTAGCATCACTAAGCCGGGCTCCCTGTGGTCTTACGTCATTTTWAAAATGTTAATTGTGACCTTTGGTTTTAGGTCTTTGACTTTCCGGGTTTACTTGCTGTCATATTATAGCCATATCATTTTTGTAGTTCATAATTGTAAGTGAATGCAAAGGCGCAAAACACTTTCCAGCCTCCTTAAGGCGTCTATGTTCGCGTGATGATTCCCTGGAAGCGTGCGAGCGGATAACCTCGAATTTAGGAATGTTTTGAGCCTTGTCATGTTAAAAGAGCTGAATTATTAAGGCGTCTATATTCGCGGGATGATTTCCTCGAGGCGTGACGAGCGGATGACTTTGAATAAAGGATTGTTGTGAGCCTTGTCTTGTTCAAAAGAGCTGTATTAAGGCGTACATATTCGTGGAACGATTCCCTCGAGGTATTTCGAGCGGATGACTTTGAACATAGGGAAGTTTTGAGCGTTGTCATGCTAAAATGAGCTGAATTATAAAATATGTCTAAATGTATAAAATGACTCTCTCAAGGCGGGAGGATGACTTAGGATAATTATTGAATGCTATGTAATCTTGAGTGACAAGTACTTGATCAGTGAGCAAAAAACACTGGGTTTGGCGTCAATACGGTTTTCTGTTTTTGTTAGCTGGTGCAGCGCCAGTTGGAGTAAATGAAGACCAAGGTTGATGTTCCCTCGGCATCAATGGCAGAACTTCTGATTCGCAGGGTTCGCAATCTAGCCTCTCGGCCAGCCTCGAGTTCAACAAGTATGAAGCCTTAAGCTAATTGAGGCCCTCAAAAATGCAGCTCAAGATGCTAATCACGAGAAAAAAGATTACTAGAGGGCGGCCTTTGAARCTTTAAGAGAAAAAGGTTAACCAGCCAGATGGCATGTTTCGGAGTTACTTGTTGCCACTCTTAGGTGATAAAGACCAAGAAAAAAATATTGAAGTTATTGCCAGAGTGGAGAAGTACGCGAACCGAATAGCTGAGGCCAGACGATACGCGGCCCCCTATGACAGATTGCAAGACCGCGGGTAGCTAAGGTGCTTTTATTGCCATCAATTTGGCCATTTCCGTGCGGAATGCCCAAGACGCCAACGCAGTTCCAGGAGACCCCCGTCTTCTCAGGAAATAAGTAACAAGGATCGGGAGTAGCCCGTGTTCAGGAGTGTAGACTTGTAAAGCTGACATTAAAATTTACTCTTGCATTATAAATTTGTCTCGTGTTTTAGGTATCCCTGTGTATGCGCTTTTTAATACACCTTTTGCTGTTCAATAACAGAAAATATACTTTCATTAATGTTGCATCAATAAGGTGGACATACATTAACGCCATAATAAACTTCATTATCCGGTGTTCACGATGTTCACGATTTTTTCAAAATAAAAGTGAAATTATTCAAAATGAACATCAGTACGTTTATTTGGGTGGTATTTCACATCTTTGGACCAAATATAAACAAAATCCTTTTTTAAAAAAATTGGCCACCGATTTTCGATTATGTTTGATTTTTTTTACAGACATTGCGTCTTAATGAMRCTTCAATAACACCAATTGACAAACAATTTCATTTATGGACAATCATTTAGCGAAAATAGTAAATTCATTAGCGCAATTAGCATAAACATGGACAGTCAATTCCGCGTTTATACAATCATGAGGGTCAGCGCTATATTCTATGTCGTGGTTCGACAAACATTTGTATGATTCAATGATTCAAATGAACATTGGACGTTTTCCGCTACTGGAACAATATATACGTATTTTAAATCATTCCCAATTCTTAAACATCGATCCGTGGGACAGTGGCCAGTTTGGATAGACTACAATTTGATTGACGTTACTTCGCGCCTAAAAAGACATAATGCAGAGTTTTATGTTATTTGGATTATGTATCGAGGAAGTTAAAGCCATAGAAAGGAGTTTTGTGGAACAGCCGAATGTTCTCCCCCCCC